AAAAAAAGGGGAGGGGGGGGAGTGTGTCCTAAGTAGGTTACCCACAGTTCTTTCTCAGGACTTAGTCCCTGAATAAGTCAGCATTATTGTGTATGGACTGGATGCATCAGAAGATGGTGTAGCAATGAGGACATTGATTATTTGGAGCAGAGTCTGCGTTTTAGCGGAGGTTACGTTTTGAGCAGGGGCTGCGTTTGAGCAGACCCTGCATTTTAGCAGAGGTTGTGAATGAGCAGACCCTGCTGTTTGAGCAGAGCTTGTGAATGAGCAGACCCTGCTGTTTGAGCAGAGCTTGTGAATGAGCAGACCCTGCTGTTTGAGCAGAGCTTGTGAATGAGCAGACCCTGCTGTTTGAGCAGAGCTTGTGAATGAGCAGACCCTGTTGTTCGAGCAGAGTCTGTGCCATTTAGAAATTCAAAGTGCAGTCGTTACTTTTCTCGGTATTCAAGCTTGGCAGAGTAAACAAATGTTACATTTTAATAAAAAAAAGAAAAAAAAAATTATTATTTTTTGTTTTGTTTTTATCATTTCTGGATAAAATAATGAACAACATCCATTTGTTCAATCTGATTCAAAATCAATGAGCCAAGTCATGGTAATAAATGGCCACTTTAATAAATACACCTTTTGTGAATGGCTAAACTACAATGTAATACTTGAAGATGTACATGAACAACAAACCCAATCATTAGGTAACATTATAACTTGAACAAAATGTCGTATATGTAAAACATGACAATGTATTTAAACCTCTCCCGAAAAATGTAAATGTTTGCATTGTATAACATCAAATATATCCCACAGAAAAGGGAATCAATTTAGTGTCAGAAGGGGCACATAGCGAAATATGGTTTCAAGTGTTGAGCATCCACCACACTGATCATAACTTGTCCAGTTGGAAGACAAATTGTCTACGATGAATTTAGAGTAGGATGAGGCGTTTCATTTCAACTACAACTCTTTGCATTTCAGTGGTAGAGGATGGGTTTGTGGGAAATCAAGGTGTCACTCTCTTGGGTGAGGAAAAGAAGGTGACACACCCTTGGTTTGGAGATAATAATACATGTTATCAGTGGGATGGAGCTTTCAAGACATGTCACCTCTGGGGTGGAGATATAGGTGGAGATATCAAGACATGAAACCCCCGGGGTGGGGGGGGGGGGGGGGGAATTATGTAAACATGTTAAGTTATACTATAAAACACTGATTTTAATTTCTATTAAATTTCAAAAGTCTGTATGACATTCATTGGACTCCACCCTAGCAGCAGGTGCCTTTTAAAAAAAATGTTATTCACACTTCTTTAGCCATAAGCATAAAACAGAGAGAACCAGACATCTGCAACTGCAAGTGTGAACAAAAATTTTGAATAAATTAAAAACTAGGATGCTTATGAAATACACAGGCAGTTTCCCAATAACATTTTATTTGAAACATTAGCCGTGATAAAATCATAATTTAAAGATCACTACATCATCATTCTTAATAAATTAACTATTTACAATTTGTAGCTTGATTTCTTTTTGTGTGTTTCAACTTCATTTTTGCCTCTGTAGAATAATGTTGTTTATAAAATGTAAATATTCAAAATTTAAAAAAAAAAAAATTTCAATTGTAAAATTGGCCACGACAGTTATCGCATCATATACATAAAAAATGGTTACCGAAAATTTGTTTGAAAGAAATTTCGTCTACGAAAGATTAATTGATGGAAATTTGATCAAACGGAAGTTTGGTAGAATTTTTTTTTCCTTTCACATTATAAAATTTTCTTCAAATTTCTTCTTCAATGCACTATACTATATAGCAGACCTGTCTACCCTCAAACGCTTAAAATCGTACAATATCATCACAAAATCGTTCACTACATTATCTTAATAGTAAAAAAAAACATACAGTATATATAATGTATACACCTCAAAATCGTACACTGTACGCCAAAATCCTAAGAGTTAATGGGTCTGATATAGTGAAACAAAAGAATGCGTTCAAAAAGAAATTCAAAATTTGGCCAAACTTCTGTTCGATCAAATTTCTGTCAATCAGTTTTCCGTAGACGAAATTTCTTTCAAACAAAATTCCGCACACAATAAAAAGTGCATATTATTCGGTTTGATACATACCGGTAACAGGCAAAAACTAATGACAAGAAACTCCTCTGAATAGAACTTGTTTTTTAAATGGAGAACTACCAGTGGGAACAAGTTGGTTTACCCTTAACCTTTTCGTTACCGATAGCCGACCTGACGTCACGATCACCCACTTTCAATTACCACGGCCGTCACTTTGTCGTCATAACAAAGATGCAAATAAAGTTTATGAAATACCAAGGACGTCACGTCGACGTCAATTATATTTCAATGCTATATATTTATTTATTCGTTAATCTATAGAGAATTTAATAAGCGAATCGGATAGAGCATGAAAAATACCGAAAGTTCTTTTTTAAAAAAAAAAAAAAAGTTTTTTTTATTGCTGAATCAGCAAAAATAAATGCCAAAACCAGCGGTAATGGAAGGGTTAATGAACTTATTTACAGCAAAGTCCATAACATCTGTCTCCAAATCCTGTCTAAAATACGGATTAAGTGTGTGCCAATCCATTTCAAAATAAAATGCTTCTCAATTAATCTTTATACAATTCACAAAAATGTCAGATCTATTTTATTATTTCAAAAAATGACCTCCTCCTTACATGAACAAGCAGCATTAAAAAAAAATTAAACAATCTTTAAAAAAAAACACACCAATTCATTTAAAACAATCTGATGAAACATAATACTTGACATCTGTTTTGTACATCCATAGAAGATACCCGACAGCAGACTAGATCAAATATGCAACCTCCATAACTATCGAAAATAGAAACAATTATTTTTTGCCAATATGTATGTATGTGTATATATATATATACAGAAACTAAGGAATTTTGTATATTTTTTCTCAAGTAAAGTTATCTTAAAACAAATTCAATTCATTGAAATGGACAATTCATTTATTACATAAATACCGTTAGTTTTGGAGTTAATTTAATCACATTGACTAGAACAAAATAACAATTTACTCACATATTACAGTTCCAAGTTTATGAGTTGTAAACTATGATAGGGATTTCAGAATTTACTAATTTTTTTTTTAAACTTCTTGAACTATGACCTTTTCTAAAAATCAACTGAACAGTAGGTTTTTTCCAGGCAGAGTTTTTTCATGTCCATTGTTTGAATGTGTGTCATGGTCAGCCAATGTGTGGTTACAGCAAGAGTTGTACACATGACCAATAAATGTGTGCCACAAGATTGCCATCCATACTGTTCACAGCTGTACACAGGACCAATGCATCTGTGCCACAAGATTGCCATCCATACTGTTCACAGCTGTACACAGGACCAATGCATGTGTGTCACAAGATTGCCATCCATACTGTTCACAGCTGTACACAGGACCAATGCATGTGTGCCACAAGATTGCCATCCATACTGTTCACAGCTGTACACAGGACCAATGCATGTGTGCCACAAGATTGCCATCCATACTGTTCACAGCTGTACACAGGACCAATCCATGTGTGCCACAAGATTGCCATCCATACTGTTCACAGCTGTACACAGGACCAATCCATGTGTGCCACAAGATTGCCATCCATACTGTTCACAGCTGTACACAGGACCAATGCATGTGTGCCACAAGATTGCCATCCATACTGTTCACAGCTGTACACAGGACCAATGCATGTGTGCCACAAGATTGCCATCCATACTGTTCACAGCTGTACACAGGACCAATGCATGTGTGCCACAAGATTGCCATCCACACTGTTCACAGCTGTACACAGGACCAATGCATGTGTGCCACATGATTGCCATCCATACTGTTCACAGCTGTACACAGGACCAATGCATGTGTGCCACAAGATTGCCATCCATAATGTTCACAGCTGTACACAGGACCAATGCATGTGTGCCACAAGATTGCCATCCATACTGTTCACAGCTGTACACAGGACCAATGCATGTGTGCCACAAGATGGCCATCCATTAGGTCCACTGCACAGATTATTGTTATTCATGACACTTTAAAAAAAGGAACACACATTTTTTTTTAATAAACAGCAATAAAAATTAATTTGCATATCTTTATTTTATCAGAGAAAAAGAGGTTGTTGAGCTAACAATTTTAATGGCTAATGACCCGGGTATGTGGCCAAACAAAGAAATTTGCATAAAATAGACTGGCATAAAATAGACTGGCAAGGAATAGACACTCACCACTGTGAGAAGACAAAGAGGTAGAGTTACATGGCATCAATTTGAATGAGGGTTATGGCCCTTCTTTGCTAATAAAAAAAACTTGCAAGTTGAAGAAACGCTCCTGGAATCTTTAATTACATGAGTCATTACATGACACAAGGCATTGGAAATTACAAAACAAATAACAAAAGTTTTGGATTTAATAAAGTATAGAATTGAACATACAAAAAGGCCCTAGTGCATGACATCTAAACCACAAATGTATCTTATTGGACATGTGAACAGAGTAAACCAAATAATGCATTAGCAGAGAATTTCCCATTTTCACTTGCATTAAAAAAAAATATATTTCAACTTTCCAATGATTTAAACAGGTTTTTAAATGTAGTCTGTCTTCCAAGAAACGTGGGTGAGCTGCGGCACATGTAATTACTGTAGCAAATTTATGCTTGGGAAAGAGAGTTAAACTGAGCCATGTTTTGTGTCCATGTGGTAATAGTGTTGTGTTGTTTGCATGTTTGCTCTTTTTGGCAAGTGTAGCGATCTGAGATTATAAGAGAAACCCGCTTCAACATAAACATATACTTGATGAACCCCTACCAACTTGGTACAGAGCCCAAAACTTTGAAGATTTAGAACCTCATTTTTCCTATGGCACTAACTTTGTGACACACACAGAATTTGTTCATGTTTGAAAATTACAAATGACAGTTCAACATCTACTTGGACTGCCAGATATGGCCCTCAATGGACTCCCCACTGCTGTTCCTGCTCCGAGTGCGTCCAAGATCAGTAAGAAGAAAAGAAAACTCATCGATATTTGTTAAATTAAATTCCCTATCTGAATTGCTGCTGCCTGGACGGCTTCGACGATTTGATGAACCAGATGGATTTCGGCTGCGTATGGACGTGAAGTCTGTCAGCCAAGACGATGATGACGGATTCCTGCTTCGGTTCAAGGGTTCAAAAAACCAGTCTGTATCCTGGTTTGCGGACTTGACCGAAGACGCAGAAGGGTTCCTGTGCCTGTGGGACATGTCGTAGGGAGGGGGCTCCGAGTCTTGTGCTCTTTGAGAAGATGAAGGGTTTCTGTGTCTACCACCGTGGTCTAAGTGCAGGAACAAGCTGTCGGCCTCCGTGCTGTTTTTGGAGGACAAGCTTTGTAAACGCCTTGTGTTCTCGTACTGGAGTGAGTCCAGGTCAGGGCGACTCGAAGGCCTGCCAACACTGGACGCAGAAACCAAAGGATCTTTACCTTTTAGGACAGGGGGGGACCTTCCCTCAGCGTAGGCGGGCAGCTTGGGGTAGCCTGCGCCATGGGCGTTGCCACGGTAACCGATCTCGGGAAACTGCAGCTCTTGCTCCGCCATCTGGGAGGTCTGCCAGGGTCTCTGTGCGAACACCTCTCCGAGCTTTGCCATTTCAGCCTCTGGCAGCGGAGAGTGCTTCAGAATGCCTGCATTGCCCGTGGAGGAGAATGCGTGCCTTTTCCTTTGCTCTTCTAGCTTCCTTGAATCTTCCAAGTCATGAGGAGCAAGTTCTGCCTTGTCAAACGTGGGGGAGGTTTGGAACTTCTCAGGGTTTTCTCTGCCTCCTTGTGTGACGAGATTGTGATCCCTTATTGCCAGGGCGAGGGCCTTCTTCAACTTTTTGTTTTCATCCATCTTCTCCTGAATCTCCTTGTTGAGGTTTTGGTTCTCCGAATACGTCTCCTGTGTGAAACAAGGTGAGGGAGAGCTCAAACCGTATGCCATACCAAGAGCTTTCGCGGTCTGGTTATCCACATCTCTGGGACCTGTAGAGTGCCCAGACAAGGTGGCTTCGGGTCTCCTGGCTGACTTTTTGCTTGGCATCTGCTGAGCCGTCTCGTAATCCACCTCTAGCAGGCCGAACCTCTGTGGTGATCCTGAACACCTCCTCTCATTTTCTGCTCCACGGGAAGCTGCCTCATTTCTCTCAGGCCATCTGTTAAGCTGTAGAGAGGTTGGCTCTCCGACAATCTGTGTACCATCTGTGCAGCTGTTGTCTTTAGTCTCAGTATTATGCACGAGTTTGAGATTATTATCAATAGGACGACTGGTAGGTGACCATTGAGAGGAATTTCCCATTTCAGTTTTTCTTTTACTAGAGAGCTTGGAGTATCCTTTAGTGGAGAGAATATTGAATGAGCTAAGTTCATTTTGAAAACATGTAGTTTTGAACTCATTGTGAGCTTCTTGAGCTGTTGGACAGGGTTTGTACCGGTGGCTCGAGCAGTCATTCCCTTCACCGCGCTGGGTGGACTGGCCAACTTTTACCTTGATCTTCAGGCCTGGGGACTCCCTAGAGTTTAGTCCCTCAGAAGTCATGCCATGCTCCATAAGTGTCTGTGATGGCTTAAATTTGCCAGCACCCTGCCCATTGAAATCTGATGCAGTCCTCTTCAGCACTGCAGGGTGGTGGCTTTCTGTGGCCACACAGCTGCTCTCAGGCAAGCCCAGCGCGTGGCTCATCAGTTCTTGATGCTGGGGTACAGTTAACGCTACCTCCCCGTCAGGGCTTATTGCCTCCACTGGCCTTTGCTCATTCTGCAAGTAGTGTGGAAGAAACTCACTTCTCTCGGGAGACAACTGATAATCTATGGGTGAAGTTAAGCTCATGTTAAAACCATGGACATTTCTTGAATAATTCAAGTGCTGTTTTTTCCCATCTTCCCCGACAGCATGACCCTCTGGCAGCAAAGAATCTCCACCATTATCAGTGACCTCATCTGAAAACTGGACTTTCTTGGAGTTCAACTTGTGGTTCCCTTTCTGGCCCCTGGCTCTTTTTGGATTTCTCCAGTCTGATGACCCTGCTCCATCCCAATGAGAAGGGGCCGTGTTTGATTTTTCTAGGATGTATTTATCCGACTTGATAACTGTTGTAAGGTTAGCAAGGTCTTCTGTGTAAATATGTGATCTACCAGCATCATAAGTGTTGGGGCTGGTAAAACACTGATGTGATCCATCAGCTTGAGGAGTGTTCAGCAACTGATATGCAGACTGGGTCTTGGATGAAGCCAAGGTTGGAGGTGGGGATAAATCTTCCTCCTCATGAAAGTTGTATATGTCATCGATTACTTTGTCAATCCTGCCACTGGGAGCCGATTCTGTTTTCAGGTTTTCGGCCTCAGCTCTCGAGCTGGAATGAGCCAAAGAAGGATGATGGGAATTATGAGTGGAGGTGCAGACCAATATTTTCTGGGAATTTCTCACAGCTGAATGATACATCTGAGGCTGGCTACTGGCTGTCATGGGTGACTCGTTTAGGTCACCATAGTTCTCAGAAAATTGATCCTCTTTAGATGCTCTTAGAGTTGTCCCTGTTAAATTGGTTGTGCCGTCCACATCACTGGACTCTTCTCCCTGTGCATAACAGAATCCAGATTTCTGGTTCTCAGCCTGTGATTCATTCATTAAAGATGAAACCGTTTGGCCATTTTTCTCAGTAAATGCTGCGCTATAAGTTCTCAAAGTGGTTTCAGATTTCTGAAAAGCATCCTGAAAGCATCCACCTTGCTTCATTTTCTTCACAGCAGATGGTGCACATTCAGATGGGATTAAAGTTTTATTTTCAAACAAGATGTTAGCAAGTAATGGATTCTTCTGGATCCTGTTACTTGACAAGCTGCCATCCATTCCCTGGATCTGCTCATGTACCGATGTCACTGGAAACGCCACCGAGCCATACGCACTCGGTGATTGCTCACGTAGCGGCGGCTGGTGTCTGGAATGATAAGATGAAGTGCTGGAGATCTGACCGTCTTTGACCACAGCAATAGAAAGTCTGCCTGCATCGGCGGGGTCTTTCCTCGTAGGGAACTTCAAAATCAGATCCGGATTTCCCTGGGGGCTGGACGGCAGTTCTGATGCAGAAGACATCGAGGGCACTGGACACTTGGGTTTAATCAGCTGCAGCAGTTGAGAATTATTCGAGCAGAGCTTTGACTCGGAAAGCAGAGCTCCCTGCTCTCCTCTGTGACCTGCTCCACTCAAGCTTGGTGAGGTAGAGCTAAACTTTTGGCCAAAAGAAAGGAAACTTTTACTTTGTCCTGTTGAATTTTTCCCAAATTTTGTCTCATTCAGTTGGTGGCCAGTAAGCTTAAATTTGTGAATCTGATTATCCGGCAAACCCTCTTCAGAGTTAAAGGAAGATGAAGGCCTCAGTGAAAGTTTCTCACTGTTCACCGTACTTCCTGATCTCTGGCCCACTGCTGTAAAATTTTTCTGGCCAAAGTAACTTACAGTTGAATTAGAATTCAATGTGGTTGGGGCACTTGAAACTTGGGCGTGATTGATGAGCCTCATTTTCGGTTCTAATGACAAGGTTTCTTTTTTCTGAATACTTGAGTCGGCTGAAGAGGAGGGCTGGAGTTTCAATACCTGTGGAGATTTCTCAGGCATGAAGCTGTTTGAGCAAGGTTCTGTAAATACAACTCCAGGGGCTTTGAGTTGCATTTTTTGCCCGGATTGTGCCTGAGCTGTCACAGAGTTCGTCAATGCGTTCGTCACCGAGGGCGCAATCATTAACTTTGGCAGGGTTGTGTTTGTTTCTGTCACTGGTCTGCTGCCGGTGAAAGTAACTGGAGGCTGCCCAAGGGGCAACTGCAGGATAGATGGGAGGGTGAGCATTGTGGTGGGGCCCGCGTCAACCAAATTCTGCTGCTGCATGTGTTTGGTCGAGGCTTCAGAGCTCAGGGAAGCTGTATTGGGCTGAAGGACTTTAATCCCTGGAGGATCACACGGCAAGCCAGGCGCACTGGAAGTCCTGTCAGGGTTACAGCTGCTTCTCGAGATCAGCTGCAGATTCTTGACTTCAATGTTGAGCCCCTGGCCTACGGCCGGGTTCTCGTTCTGTTCTGAAGTAGGCCGTGGACCTGTAAATACATACGTCCCCATGACTGGATGACTCTGCAGTTTTAAGAGCTCAGACACAGTGGCCGGTCTTTTCTTGGGCTTGGCTGGTTGACGAGCCTGGGCTTCTGTTAGCTTCACAAAAGCCTCTTTGGTCTTTGTTGAAGATGGAAGGACTGCTTGTGATGTCACCAGAGGACCAGCTTGTGACACAGTTTCTTGATGTCTGCTAACATTTGTTGAACTCGTTGAGACTATGGAGCTGGAAGATATGTTAAACTGAGTGCAAGTAGAGCTGTTTGATCTCATCAAATTTCTGTTGAGTCCTGTATCAGAGGATCCCCTGTTATCTGACAACAGATTGTTCGAGTTGGCAGTGGCGTTGGCCTGGCTGACCACTGTGAACACAGCACTAGCACTGTTACTTTCCGACCTGGCTCTAGGCAGCTGGCCGGCAATTGGCTTAGACGGGGACAAAACTGTGATGTTGGGAGGCCCCACGGCCCCTTTAGGCGTGTTTGTGGCACGTGTGAAGCTGACAGCTGTAGAGGAGCCAACAGCATTGACGGGAGATGCCATGGGAAATGACATCCTGTTCAATGAATTTGATGGCATCAGCAATGATGTTGACATCTGCGGCAGCTGGAAAGATGACAGGGATGGGGCATTGGAGTTTTTGTTGTGTGTCAAAGAAGAAAGAGAATGCTGTGGAAAGTTCAGGCGTGAGGTCTGTTCACTGGCAGGCTGAGGTGGCAAAGAACCGGTTGATGATGGGACATTCTCCTTTGAGAGTTTCATGTGTTCTGCATGAGTAAAATATAGCTCTGCACAATTGGTGCTCTGGGAGCTCTGCGTTTGAGGTGGGCTAAACACGACCTGATCAGACTGGTTGAAATCCTGGTTCAGTGAGATGGTTACCCTTGGAAAATCAGTGTTTGTGGGAATTTTGCTGTCTCCACCGACCAGGGTCTCAGAATGTTGAGGAGGTCCCCCGCTCAGTAACAGGTCACTGAATTGGTCATCGTGAGTTTGAGCGTTCCTGGATTCCATGAACAGCTGAGGGCAGTTGACTTGAGATATGAGGGAAGACAGAAGCTGTCTTGCCGTTTCATCATCAAGGGTCTGAAAGCTGTTGAGCTGTGAATCATCTTTGCTGTTCGCTGTGCCCGTCTGCGGACTTAGGAAAAATATTGGTGTGGTGCTTATCCGTGTGCCGAGTTCTGTGAGGGAGCCATTGAAAGATGAACCAGACTGCTGCCCGCTGCAACTCACCTCATGCTGAGGTATCGTTTTGAACTCTTGTTTATCTGAAAACAATGACCGCTGAGTTTCTTGTTTCTCTCCCGGTGAGCAGTGATACTCTCCCTGCTTCTGGTAAAGCTGATCTTGTTGGGGCTGAGGGTTCCGATGATGCTGGTGAGCTTGTAGAGGTTGCTGTACTACTACCTCTTGATGGGTGTTTTGTGCAAGCGCATTTTGGCCTCCTGTTAATGCCGGTGCAGCGGTGTCAACATGGGATGTGATCTGATTTTGCTTCACCACAATCTTTACATTTGTCAGGGGGAGCTGACTCTCACTTACCACTGGCTTGTATTGTCCCATCGATGCAGTCGGTGTGTTTGGGGGACTGTCGTCGGTGAGGTCAATAACATCCCTACCCCTTAAGTAGTTCACTTCAATGTCTTGTTTATTCACTTGCACTTGTGATTGGATCACATGATATTGCCCAGAAGCAGGCATGAACTGCACTTTTGGTATGTCAGACTTATCCACAGAAGTTGCGGTAGTTGCGGCAGTAACAGTTGGATGATTCTGTATGTGCGCCACCTCAGCGGTGTCCGCTCTTATGTTTCCAAACCCGCCAGTCACTTGAAAGCAGTTCATAAAATCTGATGGCATCAGTTGATTTAGTGGAGAGTCTTCCGAAATTAAATTTTTAACACAGGTGAGATTTGAATCTTCTGTGCTGCCTAAAATTTCTGGGCACTGGTCATTGACAATCATCAGAGTCTGAACACCTCCCTGCATGCTCAGATGTATTTCCCTGCTGTGTGGTGTCTGTAATGTTGGGGGATTGGTGGCACCTTCTATGGTCAAGATGGTTTCCTTTCCAGGCAGTAGATTACTGGGGTGTTGAAATATCAAGGCCAGTTGAGACAAAAGCGTCGAGTTCTGGGAATCCGGTTGGAGTTTGTCATTTTTTGCCGTCTTCCCACTTTGGCTACTCGAGGTTAGCGACGGGTGATATGGTTGGGACACAACGGGTTGGGTTGGTGCTGTCTGAAGTTTTCGGGTTCTCCGAGGGGTGGTGTTGTCGTGCTGTACCGCTTGAAGTCTGCTTCCCTGGTCCTGAATTCCAACAGGCAAGACTTGGCGTGGAACTGAACTGCTTTGAAACACTGGTGCACGAGATGACCAATCAACATCAACATTTGCCTGAGCTGCTGGTGACTGTATGGCGGGAGTCACAGCATTATAGGATTTGTTGAATGGCTGGCTATGAGAAACAACCTGCAGGCCAGGAGCCACTGAGTGTGACCCACCACTGCTCTGTTCTGTTGATGCTTGGCCAATGCCTAACCTGCACAATTCCTCTACATCTAAAACTTTAAGTGGCATGAGCAATTTATTTGGAAGACTGCGTACATTTTCTGTTGAGCTCCCCGCAGATGTGCTTTGTTGAAGCGAGTCATGTCTGGGAGCGAGAGGTTTTGGCTTGGTGCTGCTGGGAGATGCTGGAGTGACAGACTGATCTGGCGCGGACTGCGGTGATCGGACAGGTGGCCTGGAAATGGCGGGCTGGGCGTCCAGGGAGGGTTGATCTGACAATGGTGTGGGTGGATGATGCACAAGCGTTGGCAGCTGGTGTGCCAGAACCCCAGGTGGAAGGGCTGGGGCCCCCCGTTGATGTGGTGAGACTGGGGGTTGATTAGCCGAGGGAGTGGACTGACGTGTCAAGGCTATGGATTGATCAGCTGATGAGAGGGGTTGATAGGCCTGGCCGCCTGGTCGACGCACAGAAACAAATATTTTGCCATTTTGAGAAGATGTTAAGGGTTTCAACACAACTTCTGACTGGCTTGGGTTAGTCTGCACTGGGCCCTGAGCGGGCCTGAGATGTGTGGTAAATCTTTCCTCTACAGCAGCGTGCTTGCAGTGTACCAACGTCTTCACATCAACAGCCCTTTGCTCTGATGATAAAACTGATGTCATTCCAGAATGTGTAGCCCCTAAAATCTGATTCTCAAACTGAACTTCTTGATGCCTGAGAGTAATCACCTGACCAGTGGTGCTTTCAGCTGATTTGGACTCTGCTTTGCTGCTGGTTACTCTCAAAACTTGGGTGCTGTTGACCTCTACGAGTTGAGAACCAGTGCCACTCGGGTTCTCATCAGCAATTGGTGATCTGTTTGTTTCAGTGACATGACTTCCGAGCTGAATATTGCCCAATCTGTTCATTACTGTTAAGGAGTTTCGTGCCTGGCGTAAGAGTTCAGCACCGTCTCCTTCCACTGCATTGGAGCCAACACCGGTGCCCATTAGACCTGTTGTTGAACACTGGCTTATAGGAATAAAAGAGTTTGACTGGAGAAAGTTGCCTGCTTCTCCCAATCCATTCTCTGAATTCTTCGCAGGCTGCCTGGCCGCCGTTGGTGCAAGAGAGGCGATATCCTGCGAGGGTGCTGACTGGACAGTTGTAGCTTGTAACACTGCAGAAGGATTGCTGCCAAAGGGGGCGCTGAGGACACTGATGTTCCCTTGCCTAGAGGATGTTGAGGGCATGCTGGATGAACAGCTGCTAGGACACACATTCACAAGGACCTGGTTTCCTTGCTGAATGAGGAACTGAGCTTCTGTGGAGAAATTGACGGGCGTGATGATCAGGTTTTGTGTAGGTGGGCAGATGGAATAGTAGGCAGCCCCTCCTGTGGAGATATTTGGCCCAGATGGAAGAACAAAAAGCTGTTTGGTGTTGCTGTTGGAAGCACAGGAGTCAATGACCCGATGCACTCCCTGAGGGATTAGGTTTACATTTAAAGGTGGCTTTTCAAGGAGGCTGGATGGATGGGTTTGAGAGAGTCTCACACTGTTGTCAGAAGGCATGGCAACGTTGGGATTGCTAAGGATGGCTGGCAGGCTGAACTGGTTAGTTTGATGTGATGCCCAGCCTGGGTTGTTCAGATTAAGCTGGTTTAGCTGTTGTGATAGTTGACCCTGGTTGCTTGCATTCAGATGGTTGGTCTGTTGTGACAGTTGACCCTGGTTGCTTGCATTTAGATGGTTGGACTGTTGTAACAGTTGTCCGAGATTGCTTGTTTTCAGTTGGTTGGTCTGTTGTAGCAGCTGACCCACATTGCTTGCACTTAGTTGGTTTGTCTGTTTGGACAGTTGACCTAGACTGCTTGCGTTTAGTTGCATTGCCTGCTGCGACAGTTGGCCCAGATGGCTCGTGCTTAGTTGGTTAGCCTGCGACGACAGTTGACTCATATTGATTGCGTTTAGTTGGCTAGAGCCAAGCTGATGACACTGCTGTGACAAAAATGCCAGTGCACTGGGGCTGAGACTGTTGCTATCCAACAAAACAGACGTGAGATGGGGCTGCTCCATGGGCTCCACATCATTCTGTAGGTTGAATGCAGCTCTGGAAACATTTGTTTCTCCATAAGTAACCAAAGGGATAGGCTCCAACGTCACACCGACGTGGTCTGTTGCCGAGGCTGTAGATGAGGCCCTGGTGAATGAACTTTGAGGAACGTTGGAGTTTGCGAAGGTGGCAGGAGTACTCGTCACGCCAGAAATGTAAGGATTAACTATGCCCACCTGGGGAGGATCCCGTGCCCTGGTCACCTTACCCACTTTAACATGGCACTGTCTCAAGGTTTCCCCCTGGTTCAGTGCGAACGCCATGGTGGTATTTTTGCTTTGTATAACAGTACATGAAACCTGGTTGAGATGTGACTGGTCATCTGTAACAGGGCCCACATTTGTAGCCAGGCTCAGACTAGGATTACACTTTGACACAGAAGTGGATGGGACCTCCTCACCTGAGGTCGAGATGTGGGGGTTAAACCCAACAGAGTCTTGAGTCAAGCCCTGGGCTGCTGATGAGACTGTTGGTCCACAAGTGGTGTGTGCCGTGGGAGGGTTCAAGTTGGTCACAGCCAAGGTTGTTGAGTTCTCCATCAACATTTTGCAGAGTAGGGAGGGTAATGTCGTAGGATGAGGGTGTGGCGCTCCAGGAGAAAGTCCTGATGATGAAGCACTGGAGTTCAACGTGCCTGATGGGCACAACCAGGTTGAGAGGTGGTCAGAGATCACGGGGGTCTCAGAGGCAGATGTACAGAATGAAAGCGCACTGTTGTCTTTGACTGGTGAGCCAGCCAAGGCATCAAATGGTAAGGATTCTGAACTGCAAGTAGGTGGCATTTCAGCACCTGACAGGCCTGCCTGATGGGATGTTGATGTGCTCTGTATGACTTGACCGCATGTTACAAATTTGTTTTGGCTAAATGCATATGTTTGATGATTTTGTTGGTCACATGAGTTGAGTTGGAAGTTGTGGTCACTTTGCAGTTTGCTCTGTTGATATTCAGGTGGCACTGATGACAGGGTCTGATGGTCAGAGAATGAATTTATTGATGAACTATTGGGAAAGTCCAGGTGGTTCAGATGAGTTGAGACAATGCTGTTGGAATTTAAAACATACTGACCACTGTCCAAGCTCATCTCCGTGCCATGTTGACCAAAAGGAATGGTCCTCATAGTCTGGGCCTGGGGAAAATTTTCTTTAGAATTACTTGAAGTGATCAGATTACAATTAGACACAAACATGTCCCCTTTGCCGAATTGAGAACCTTGTGTGGCTGATTGGCTGTGAGCAGGGATAGACTGCTGCCTATGAATGTCTGGGTTTGCCATTGATTTAGTTTGAGGATCCCTATACTGTGAAGGTGCTTCACCATGGTGTGAGTTAAAATTCCTGGAAATGAAAGTGGAGATGGATAAACCAGGCTCTGACCTGGATACTGTTGCATTATCTGGTTTGTGATGTTCAGGAATCAAATTAGGCTGATCTGTGAGGGATTGTGGGATGGCATGAAAGCTTGGCAGGGTGTAGAGATTTTTGCCAGAATTGTCATTAGGTGAGGTCAATGCCTGACCGGTTGCTGGCTGTGCATTCATGGTCGACAATGACGGGAAGGTGCAGGATGTGGCCGACGCAGTGGTCAGGTTTGAGGAACTGATCAGCTGAGAGGTGTGTACAGTTTGTGTGGTGTTGACACCTTGAGTGGAGGCGACAAGCTGGGGAGTGGAGGTGACAAGCTGGGGGGTGCCGATGACTTGATGACTGCTAACAAACTGTGGGGTGGTAATGATTTGAAAGGCCCCTAACTCAGAAGTTTCAAGTAGCTCAGAGGGCTTCACCACCAGGCGGGGCACCACTCCCTCTGGCAACTGTCTAAATACATGAGAACCACCTAAAATTCCAGTGCTTTTAGGTGCTATTTGAACAAATTGTTTACAAATCTGGGGTAATGGTATTGCGCTGATATTGCTGGATAACACTGCCATTTCTCCTGGAACTGGGATATTGGTGACTGCTCGGTTTGGTGCCTCACCTGCCGACCCCCGGGATGCCTGCCCTGGATGAACTTCTCTGCTTGATGTCACCACAGTGACAGCATCGTTGCCCTTGTGGCATGAGCTCAGCACCGTGGTGGAGGCAGACTCCGCAGGAATCATTAGCGGGACTTTGCTGTGCACCTGAGTGTGGCCTGATGTCTCAGGTGTGGTCCGCTGGCCGGAACTTGCAGACACACAATTCCCAAGCGGCGGCGAGCAGCCACCAGGTCCCTGCAGCAGTCTTTGTTGTTCTCTGGCTCTTTGTGTCTGTGCCAGTTCATTGACCAGGTCCTGAAGGCTTTTGATGGCCTGATCAGATCAAATATAAACAGTAAAATCAGCAATACGCGAATTATTATGAATGCAAATAGCTGCAAGATAAAGACACTGCTAATTGATGAGATGGATCATTTGTAATCTCTAATCAATGAAATACTTCAAGTGTGTGACTAAAATCTTTCTTGGCTGATTATACAGGTGGGTGTCCAACACCTGGTACAATCAGTAGAAGAAAAATTTCTAGACTCTGGATAGTGTGCACACATTGTCAAATAGTAATGTGATTCTAAATATAGGTATAAGTTGTAATTTTTTAAAATTTAGTTTCATCAATAACTTGATAATCTTTATATGTATATACTTTGTATCCCCACAGACACATTTTAGAGATTCCTAATGCTAACCCTGACCCTAATTATGAGTACATTTAGAGGCACAACACTGTCTGCACAATACCTCAGGGTTATCCAAATTGAGACATTTCTGAGATATTTCTTCTTTTAGACGCTCCATCTTCTGATCAATGTCTTCCCTTGGATGCTCTTGGCACGGCCTGACTCGTGCGGACCCTGGAGAATTCAGGTTAGCCTGGCAGGTGTAAGGAGGTGCTCCGACCCCTGGATGCTCTTGACCCGGCCTGACTCGTGTGGACCCTGGGGCATTCAGGTTAGCCTGACAGGTGGAAGGAGGTGCTCCACTCACGTCATTCACGGCAAGGCTGACTAACTGTGAAAGTCAATCAAGTTTATTAAATTAACGTGAAACAAATGTGAGCCTCTCTTGAAGTGGTAATTTATCAGTTTGAGCACAAATCTGTCACACTTCTTAAACTTTTTCTTTTTTTTATTTTTTTTTAAATTAATTAAATTAATTTTTTTAAATGCCATCTGTCCATCTCCAGAAGACGATGGTGTAGTTGTGCTGGCAGCGTCAAAGCAACAAAACGTGGGTGGCGTGTTTTTTATGGAGAATCAACTGTTTCTAGTCAGCAGATCAACCTATTCAGGCTACTGGTGAATCCAAGGTAACACCTAATGTACTTTAAAGTGTTGGCAAAAATTTAAAATTTTTAGGGAGTCATATTTTCAGACTGTCTTTAAGTTTTTCTAAGTTTTTAAGATAGCCAAAGGGAATGCAGGAATAATGAACTTCAGCACTGAGTGATATGCTGAGCATAGTCCACAAAGGACATTTCCATCAGCAGGTACAGTATAAGGCAAAGGTGAACAAAGCTCTATGGGGTGTACATTTTAACCATAAGATAAGATAAGATTCTTTATTGATCCAAATCAATGCGTTTTGATCACATTGCGCAAATTCATTTTCAGCACATAAATAAATGCAAAATTTTTTCAGCCAGGACAGAAATTCGCAATAATAAAAATTTAAACACAAGACATCTACAGAATTTCTCTAGCGTAGAAATCAGCCATATGAGAACAAAGTGTCATGTGAGGGGGGGGGGGTTGTCATTAGAAACAGTGACAAAAACAAATTGAAAGCTAAACACAGGTCATGACGATGTTAATGGCTGATTACAGAAGGAACAAATCTGTAAAAATAAAACATTAAAATTTCACTTTGTTTTAAACTGACGCTTTTGCTATCACCACCTGTTTTTAACATGCTTACCTTCTGCAGACCTCCAATCTCAAGGGTGTCCTGACCCACACCGGACACGGTACGACATATTGTGACCCTTGGGGCCGAGAGCAGCCCAGCAATGGATGAGGCGTAGCCGGACGCCGTCGCTATGGTTGACCACTGGGGAGCCGTTGACTGATTGTTAAGTGTTGATGGACCTGACTGAGAACCCAAAGATGCTGCAAGGGAACTAGTTCTGAGAACAGCAGAAACTTGAGCGCTGGCCGTTGGGTTCAGGGGGCCGGCGCTGGACGCTGGGTTCAGGGGACGAGCACTGTCAGCAGTATGGACGCCAGAAGACCCTGAAATAGTTTCCACTGGTGATGTAGTGTTGGTGGTTCCATTACTGGATGCTGAAAGCAGAATATTTATGAGATTTTATTTTCCCAATAACATAATAAAATAGTAATAAGGAACACCTCCCAATTTTATCAAATTGTGAATGAGCTGGGTGTAAAATGTAGTATGATTTGCAAAAAATCCTTCGGCAGAATAGATATTTAGCCAGCATCGGCATGTGTTCCTTCATTGAAATCGCATTGACCTTTGAAGTTCACAGCCCTTAAAGGTTGGGTATAAAACAAGGCCAGCAACCCACCATCATAAGATCTCGAGTCCTGCCTCTGTCTTTTCCAGTGTGACTTCATGCCATGTTCAGGCTTGCCGGCGTCGACCTTAGTCAGCAGTTTCTGGAAGTTGACCCGATTGACGGTGGTCTGGCAGCAGCCTGTTACAGCAACAATGAACTTGGAGCAGACTTTGCTACCATGGTCATCAGCTTAAAATATTAGAAAAATGTACTGCATTGTTTCATTGTGTCTTTATTGGGGGTGTTGTGTTTCTTTATAAGACTTAGGCAGTGTAATTTATTTTTAAGGTTTATTCATTTCTAGAACCAAATGCTCAACAAATAAAAGCTTGTGACCCTGATCTATCAATAATTGATGAAAAATTATTTGATTTTAAAAAAAAAAATGTATTTAAAAAAATTTTTTCTCTTCTTTTTAGTATAAAATTATTGCAATGGGCAATTTCTCACATTTGAACCTAAACTAAAAGTTTAACTGACATATTTCATGTTAAACGAATTTTTATCTTAGGTAATAAATCTTTTGAAAAGTCAATAGACTATGCATTTCCGTATGCTAATCAATTGTGAACATATTCCTTTTAAAACAAAATTGTATCACTCTAAAACATCAAACAAAGTTTGCATGGTGCACTGAATTCATACCATTTGTGATCTTACATTGTATTTAATCAGTGAACCAAGCTTCCAATGTTAACTCGTCCTAACAAAGACCTTTTTTTTTTGTGTTGAAATTTTTCGGGGGAAATAAATGGGGTTGTTTGACTTGTGAGCGGCTCAAATAAGATTTTTATAATTTTCTCCTGATACATTGAATAATGAATTTGCTATTGTAGAAGGCGATGGTCCTGGTCTACAGAATGCCCTTCTCCATTCAAATACTTTACCAGTACCAGAAGCTTTAAATATTAATAAATATCTATATCTGCTGTTACCTTAACCATTTGTTTCATTTTTCATATAATAGCAAGTTTTGATTTTTTTTTAATTTTCTCGCTTCTGCATTTGCTTACCACATAAAAAACAAATATTTTTCAGAAGTAGATGGCCCCACTACAAGTCATTTTTATCGACAGAACAATCTCCTACTGTATATTTGCAAACAGATTGCTCAAATTGACAAATTATATTTATGTGGTCAGCTAATGAGCGGGTTATACACTTTTCTGCCTTTCCTCGTCCAAAACAAGTGGGTTCGGCTGTGAATGAATGAGCTTTAGAATGATTATCTCCAGTAAGTTAATATCAATAGTACTCACTGCTGGTGCTGAGCATCTGTCCAATCACGCTCCACATGTCTTTCTGACTTTTCTGAGCCATCAAGCGCCACTGTGCCACTTTGTCAGGATGTTTTGAGGCTATCTGGTATTAAATAACAACACAATGTATCAAGATTATTTATTGGAGTGATTTTAGTCAATGTGAGAAAGTATTGAGTCGGAATACCTTGCAACAGGGTGTTTGTGAGCTGGGGGTTGCAATCCCCCTCAAAAAAGTTGAAGGGGCAATTTTTTAAACTTTTTTTTTATTTTTTAAAAACAGTAGTGTACAAGAAAAGGAAAGTAATTGTTAAATAGTTACAAAATTTTTTAAAAAATAATTTTTTAACCAACCACAAAGAAATTCAGTAACTTAATGTTTAAAATTCATTGTATCTTACAATAAACAAAATTTGTTAAAGTTTTGTTTCACCAAACACTATCATTACAGAAGAAAAAAATAAACTTTTCCTCATCATCTCTACATATAACAATTAAGATTCTATATTTATTTATTTTCTTAGACCTCCATTAAGCGCAATAGTTAAGTCTTATGCTGCTCAGATGGCTTCACATTTTATCGGGGCCACTCTCAACTGGGCAGAATAAACTCTTGGTCAGATAAAACTATTGGGTATTAACCTCCCAAATATATAATTGCAAATAATAATATTCTTTTTTTTTTTTTTTTTTTTTTTTTTTCAAAACCGCAACAAAAATATTACATAATATATTAACCCCAGACACAAAAAAAAAAAAAAAAACAACAAAACCAAAAAAAAAATAACTCTAGTGATTGTCCAGATAAACATCTCATGTAAGTGTTGGACAAAGGATNAGTGTATAACAATGTCAAAATAAGTACAATCAGTCTAGTGTATAACAATGTCAAAATAAGTACAATCAGTCTAGTGTATAACAATGTCAAAATAAGTACAATCAGTCAAGTGTATAACAATGTCAAAATAAGTACAATCAGTCTAGTGTATAACAATGTCAAAATAAGTACAATCAGTCAAGTGTATAACAATGTCAAAATAAGTACAATCAGTCAAGTGTATAACAATGTCAAAATAAGTACAATCAGTCTAGTGTACAACAATGTCAAAATAAGTACAATCAGTCTAGTGTATAACAATGTCAAAATAAGTACAATCAGTCAAGTGTATAACAATGTCAAAATAAGTACAATCAGTCTAGTGTATAACAATGTCAAAATAAGTACAATCAGTCTAGTGTATAACAATGTCAAAATAAGTACAATCAGTCTAGTGTATAACAATGTCAAAATAAGACTAAGTACAATCAGTCAAGTGTATAACAATGTCAAAATAAGTACAATCAGTCTAGTGTACAACAATGTCAAAATAAGTACAATCAGTCTAGTGTATAACAATGTCAAAATAAGTACAATCAGTCTAGTGTATAACAATGTCAAAATAAGTACAATCAGTCAAGTGTACAACAATGTCAAAATAAGACTAAGTACAATCAGTCAAGTGTATAACAATGTCAAAATAAGACTAAGTACAATCAGTCAAGTGTATAACAATGTCAAAATAAGTACAATCAGTCTAGTGTACAACAATGTCAAAATAAGTACAATCAGTCTAGTGTATAAAAACTCTTCATACACTTAAGGCAGACCTGTTTACCGTCAAACTCTTAAAATCGTAGAATATCGTCACAAAATCGTACAATACGTTATATTTATAGTAAAAAATAAACAGCATATACAACCTATACGCCTAAAAATCGTACATTGTACGCCAAAATCGTAAGAGTAAACATGTCTGCACGTACCATAAAGAGTGATACAAATATCTGCTTAACTCACGAACCAACTGTTTAAGTAGGTGATGTAGTCGTTCGCCAACTATTTTTCATGATCGAACACAATATACAAAAACTATGATATAAACTTGTCACAATTCTAATATATGTACCTGTATGTTAGAATTTAAATTGCTCAACTGTTTATGTTTGGTGAGTCACTGAGCAAGTGATGACATTATGAAAGGCAAACTAAATGGATATACAAACGATACAATAGTTTAACATCGCATAACATTTACCGCTTTTTCTGTGCACGATTAATGTCAGGTTTAAGCTGCTTGGGCCATATTTATTTATTATAGAAATACCTTGATTGTTCACAATGTTATAGGTCTTTGCCTCGGCTACATCGTTCTAGTTACTTCCATGACTGAAAACTATCTAAGAAGTTCTCTAACACTTACGTGGCGTTGTCTTACATCTGCAAGTTAACGCAGAATTCTGACTGTTATAACTTAAACTAGACATAAAACATGAGTTTTAAAAAGGGTCTTCTACTCATATCAAATCACGTCAAACATTAAGCATTTTACCGTAAAAATATACACTGCCATTCAAGGGTCGATATACTTGAATAAACAGCGTGGCTGGCGCTTGTTATATGTAACCAAAGAGGACAAATGGATCCAGAAGCTTCTTGCAAACAAAATGCAAAGAGGATTCAAAACAATCATCAAATTAAGTTTGAATATAAAGGCAACTATGTAATATCTTGTCAGATTTTAAGGGATGGAACACCAATGTATATGCATATTTTATTTCTAGCGCAATGCATTCTAAAATGTCGAAACTACGTGCAAACCAAGCGATAGTTGACGGCTTGAACATAAAGGAACCCTCTGTTATTTATAGTCTACTTTATTATACCAACGTATTCATTCTTCCTTTTGTTTTCAGCGCCATGTGTATTCTATGGGCACCCTTCATGCTCGGTACATTTGTGAAAACCGTCTGGGTCGAGGTCAGGAGTCTACCACTTCTTTCCACGGGCGAGCTTTAGACAATTAACGGAAAGAGCTACAAACCGGAGGAGGGGGGGGGAGAAGAAGAAGAAGAAGAAGATGAGAGAGAGAGAGGGAGAGAGAGAGAGAGAGAGAGAGAGAGAGAGGAAGAAACATCTTGTTAAAAAAACTTTTTAAAAATGAATGGCAGCGTTGCATGGCGCCATGTCTAGGCTACAGACTTGATGTTAAGCTGGTAACTCTCAGATATACAATGTTTTGTTTTTCTGAAATAACCTATGAAATAAAATCCAGTTTATGTTTCATCATATGCAACGAATATTTATTTTAATCGCTTAAAATTTTTAAAATGTCAATATAAATTAAACTAGTTACAGTACAAGCAGACACGCATTACATTATCGTGTTGAAATTAATAACAAAAAGTTGCCATTATTTCCTATAGTGTTAATTACAACTAAACTGCCCTTTAAAATGTCAATATTACCAGACCTGTTTACCCTAAAACTCTTCAAATCGTACAATATCATCACATAATGGTTTAAAACATTATCTTTATTGTAAAATAATAAGCCTGCAGTATAAACATGTATACACCTTAAAATCGTACATTGTACGCCAATGTAAACAGGTCTGCACTATACCCATACAATTGAAATGATACCCATCTAAGAGATTAGCGCCGGGAATATTCTATGAAACACTGCTTTGTCAAGATTACTTTAAATAACTTGACCGGTTGGGGGGCGGGGGCGCTACTACTTGGGTGACGTGAGCTGGTCACCTTATTATGTATCTCTTTTTTTTTTTTA